TTCGAGAGCGCTTGATCCTTCGACGCATAATAGCACTAGGCACTAGCCTAGACAATGCCTATGTTGCTATTTCCCTTTTCTTTGTACGCTCTTTCTTACGGGTGACTGACCTCTTAAAAACGTCTTCATACATATGTATATGAAACTAATTTTCTTTGTTGATACAGTAATACAGTATGTATATTATAGTATAAGTATGTAAATTTTACGTAAACTTTTAAAAGATTAAAGAAAGCAAGTAGGTAAATTAAAGAAAATTACACTTTTTACGTAATTTTGAAATGAATTTATAATAAAATTTAGCTACTCTTGTACCGATTCGTTGATTCAAACGTCGCATCTTTTATTTCTTACAAAGATTGCATGTCTTTTTCTTATGTAAATAGTGAGCAAAACCAAGTCCCTGCTCGAATTTCTTGTCTTTGATTTATCACTCGAGAGCCTTTAAGCTTCTTTTTAAAAGGAAATATGAAAGCACAGCTGAGCTTTTAAACAGCGATTCAGATGCAGACGTTTTCATATTTAAATCTAGACATTAAATAGCAATTATATAAAATTATTTAATTTCTTATTTATGAACAGAAAGAAAAGATTTCTGTTCTAAATTATTATAAATAATTATTTAGGTAAATTTTCACCGTACGAGCTTCTATTTAATCTTTTATCATTTCAACAAATTCAATATCACAATAAATTTCAATCAACAAAACGGTTGTCTTTTTAAGAATGAAGCAACTTACTGGGTTTCTGGGGCACCATCTCGCCAATGAATGCGAGTGCATGGCACCCCTATTTCCCTTTGAATCATAGTGTTTTTCAACAACGGCATAGATCGTGTGACAGTTTAATCTCCTTAATATTATGAATGAATGGTTGTATGAACTGTCACAATCTATACATAGCACAGACAATCAATTTTTTTTATGAATTTTTATCTGTATTCACTATTCAGTTATCTTTACTAATATCATAAAGTTTGTTAGTTTGTGTGACGTTGTAGGGGATAATCTCAGAATCTACTGAACCGATTTAGATGAAATTTAGTAAGAAGATAGTTTGAGACCCTGGAAAGGACATAGGATACTTTTTATCCCGGATATCATCCCTTAAGGGGTTTAAAATGGAGATTACAGTTTATATGGGGAATCAAGCCAGAGACAAACCCGAGCGAAGCGAGGGTGAGTCGCTAGTGTGTATATAATTTACACCAATGATATTTGTCTTTTGTTTAGAATATAAATTTTATTTTTTAATGCGAGGTATACTATATCGAGTCGCCTTTACTTTAGGTGTAATTTGATCTTTTGGACCCAAGGAAGGGTTGGAAGTCATCTGGGAAATAAAATAGGGGTACGTGGGATAATAAGTTTTAGTAATTCAGTTTTATGTACGAGTATGTATGTGAAATTTAATTTAAATAGTCATTCCCATGGAACTTAAAATATTCAGAAATAACTTCGTTCTAGTACCTATATGTTATGTTAATAATTAAATATAGTGCATTGTGCAAGACAGTCTCATAATATACATCTTATAGTAAATGGTTGCCTAAAACTTACGTAACTTTTGTAGTTGAGATAAAAATATAATATTTAGTTCAGGAACGCTTATAAATGGTTTTATAATTACACGGCTGCGACGGAGCTCGTATTTAGGTATCTATTTTTAACCGACTTCCATAATGAAGGAGGTCATTCGTCATCTGGTATTTTTTTAATCTTTTAATATATCTCGCAATCCGAGACACTCGCTCACTCTAATACTTAATGCGAAAAAACAAATGCCCTTTCTATTCCTTTTATTATCATACTCCAGTGGGACGAGCATTCCACGCGATCGGTGAGAGATCAGGCGCTAGACCGACAGTTTTACGTGCTCTCCGAGGCACGGGAGTGTTTACTCAGAATCTCTTTACAAAAAAATATTATCTTCACTTGTGCATACGAGCTCGTACTAGCCACTATACAAATGATTTTCGTTCGTATCGTTTGACGTTCGAAACTTAACTCGCGATACAAAATCATTAGTGATATTGGTATCGAACCGAACCGAATACGCCACTTTTGCCTTGAATACAATACGTAATAAAACAACATATACAAGCTACGAATAAATAACTTATTATTTATTCGTAGTATACAAGAATAGAATTCCAGACCTCCGTGTTAATAGTTATTTCACTGCTGTGTCATATAATATGCCATTATATCTACATACTAATTAATCTATTTAATTCATAATTAACCAGTTTTCTACCTAAAAGTTATTACTTTTTATAGTAAATGAGTTTTTGGAATGAACGAAATTCGTATCTGAAACAAATCTTGTCATGAATAGAACTTTCTAATGAGAATCCAATTAATGTTGGATATGAAAGAGTCCTTATGAGAACGAGTACTTGGCAGGAATGTCGGGTTTTGCTTCCGAGTTTACAAGTGAGGACAACTTGACCGATTTTATTGGTAACATTGTAGAGATAAGAGTAATAAGAATGAATTTCATATCAAATAACATTCGATAATTAATATTTATTTACTAATGAAAAAATGTTATTTTCATATAACTTTTATGATACATATATATTTTTTTTTAAATAAATTAAAAAATATATTATTTTTATTTTTTAACAGGCCCTTGATCGATTTTAGAATTTTCTTTGTATTTGCTATAAAGATATGAATTATTGCACACAATAGGTCTTTTGCGATTCAGTTTTAGTTCAGCTCGTAACACTTTTATTGCATTTACAACGGTAGTGGCGCTGTTGATTTATTATTTTCGGTACAGTCGCTCTCAGCTTATGTTATTTTTATGGTACATTTTATATTGTTTACTTTACAAAATGTAAGTGAAATATAATATCATGTTGTGTGGAAACTTTTTTTTCTGCAACAAACTCATTATTATATTAGGATAACAATTTTAATATCACCAAAATATAATTTCATTTGATAAGCCATTTTTAGTATTAGTTTATAATGGAGAAGTTTCTAATATTTTTTTAATGTATTAATTATAAAAACGTAAGTAAAGAATAACAAAAATATAAAAGAATTATTAAAATATCTCAACAAATGAAAAAGTTATGAAAAAAGTTGCGCTTGTAACTCGTGACGTCACGTATAATTTCGTGACGTCACACGACCTGAACGAAAGAAATTTAAATTAATTTCTCATTCATTTATTGATAGTTTTTTTTTCACTGATTTATTAGTTTTGATCTGTATTATAATTCCATTGCGTTAAATATGATATTACCAACTACACGAAACTTCTCCATTATTCAATTTTTATATTTGAACTATTGTTTCATTTTCAATAATTTCACTCAGTATTATTTAAAAACTTAACTCCATATAAATAAAACATTTTGTAGGGAAATGAGAGAATATTTTTAAAAACAAAAGGTAAACTACAGAGACAACTGATATTTGCATTCCAAAGTGACTCAGATGGTTGACGCGACCGCAATAGCTTGCTATTGTTTGCTAGGCATACCTCATATTCGGTTAGCCAATTACAGCTAAAGTAGAAGATATTTATTTTCATATTTGACCTATACGATGAACTTTACGATTTCATTAGTGATACTACTTCTCTTCGTTCAAACGTTACCATAAAGTAACTTAAACATACTTAGAAAACCCGAGCTTTTACCGAGACTAGTAGTAATGTATTGTATTATATTATAAACTAGCGACTTACTCTGTCCATCTGTTACCGCATCACGGAAAAACCACTGGACAGATTTTGATGAAATTTGGTATGATGATAGCTGGTTATCCGGGTCAACATATAGGATACTTTTTATTGCGGGAAAATATCTCATTTCTGAGAAAAAATACAAAAACTGCATTGTAAGAGTATACTAATATGTATAACCTTAGAATTTGGTTTTTGGTCATCTGAACGCGGGCGGAGCCGCGGGCAATGCTAGATTATGTATAATATTTATCGTAATAGATAACTTATAAAAACTGTTAAAGTAAATAAATGGGTTATTATCGAGCAAAAGCTAATATGATTCCTTCCACACCAGGATCTCTTTTATTTACCTGGATAAAAAGTACCCTATGTAAAAAGTCTTCATTATTATATATTTATATTTAGGATATAGTACACGTATAATTAAATTAAATCAACATCAATTCATGTTAACTTCATATTTCAACTATATTGTGAATGAACTCGACGAGTGGACGTTCGGTCAATAGCATGTGACATTATAGAACTACCTACATGTTTTTATTTGCTTTGTATAGTATATTGCTTTGATGTACTGTGTCAAAAGGGTCATTCTGTTTGAATCGAATGATTAGAAATCAATGGTCGTTGAGAAGGATATGATGAAATTTCATTCGCTAAACAATTATAAGTTAGAATAAGTAATGTCTCCTATATTAAATATTTTAACTAAAGCGTTAGATGAAAGAAACTTAAACAGTATTAATATTTTTTTCTAATATATACCTACTTATTATATTGTAAATCTATCCCACGGAAACTGTACATTTTTCCGGGATAAAAAGTAGCCTGTGCTTTATTCTGATGTATGAGCTACATAATTGTAAAGTTTCATTAATCCATTCAGTAGTTGTAGACAAACATCCATACATATTTATTATTTATACATCCATTACACATGAACTTACGCATTTATAATGTTAATAAGGAAGTAAGACATAATAAACAAAGAAAAAATATAATAACATAGCAAACCAAAAAAATTTATCTTAACTAAAAATGCATACATTTCTAATAAAAACGGCATTGCAAATAGTAGTAAATAAATACAATTTATTAACTATGTCAAGCTTTTGAAATGGAAATAATCCTTTTAGAAAAAGCTTCTTAGCTTTAAGAGTTTATACTCTGTTAACCCTATTGTTTTAAAAGTAAACTTTGCACGAGAATGGCGCTTCACTGTGGATGTTTTGTATTAGATTCCCTCCCACTTAATTACTGCAGCCATACATTATCCCGCCAATACGTATTGTCTAATGAATACTTGTCCGGAATCAATGATAAGTAAGTAGTAGCGGTGGCTTCAATTTTATTTAAGAAGTAATATAAAACTATATATAAATCGGACTTCTATTATAAATGCGAAAGTTTGTATGTGTGTATGTTTTTTACACTTTCAAATAGCTGGACGGATTTGCAAGAAATGTAGTATATAGAGTATGACCTAGAGTAACACTTGGCTACTTAAGTCGCAGGTACCTTTTTAATAAAAATGATATTTGTTACAAACCCCATAGCTTTTGCTTACGGCTTAGGCTTGTATATATTTTATTTAGTTTAATTGTGACCCCTCCTTTATATCAGACTGTCCGATCAAAGCTCAATCTGTAAGGCTCGAGCTTTGACTTAATGTATTGAGTCTCTATGTAGAGATAATTAAAATGGATTTAATATTTATGTATCAATCGTATCAATTAAAGTGGATCTCTTGTATAATTTCCAGTAAAAGTAACTTAATAAGCTAGATATTACTAAATATTTATTGAAACTAAAAAATCAAACCATTTTAGTGTGTAAAAGTCAAAACACTATAAAACTAAACCGATCACGATCAATTTATGACCGTGAGATGAGTTCAAGTGACAAATTGACAACAATTACCGTATTGTCCAGGATACAATTACTCTAATTCGCTTTATGCGTAAATTCGTTATCTCGTACCATAATTCTAAACATTCGCAGGATGTTGGGATTAACTACAAATATGCTTTGTGTCACTTTGACGTCACAGAGGATGAATATTTGATGGCGCAATATACTGAAAATGTCACATGGTGTATTAGCGTGTAATATGATTTCTTAGTGACCAAGTTTACAAGCTTTACGTGCATTAATTCATGAACTAGCGACTCAACCTCGCTCTGCTCGGTTATTAAAATCTGTCCAGTGGTTTTCTCGTGATGCGGTTTCAGACAGACAGACAAAAATTCTCAAAACTAGTTTCGGTCCATGTATCGATAATAACGACTATTTCACTAAGATTTTCCAAAAAATATGTAATGTGACAGATATGATTCAGAATTTTATTATATTATGTAGGTATAAACAAGTGACTCTAACTTCACTTTAATCGGGTGCGTCCTTAAGTGCTATGTGTTACTCTAGGTTTACTATTTTTTCAAATAAATCTATTTCTTTACTAAATTTCATCTAAATGCGTTCAGTCTTTTCAATGCAGCAAACATACATACATACTTTTGCGTTTATAATAATAGTCTGATTATGACAATAGTAACCTTTGCCCCTGGGCTTGTTTGTTTAACGCACGAGGACATTACGATTCCTTATATTAAAAAGCTCGCTTCGGTGGTCTATGACTGGCAGATCCGTAGGGCCTGGGTACGGGTCCCGGCTCGGGCAGTTATTAAGTATTTCTGTCAAGAACTGTCGAGTAATCGTCTCACCGGAGTATGAGAGTGACAGGAATAGAAAGTGCTCTTGTGAACTATAATATCTCCTCCGCAGATGGCTAGTTCCAATGAGATTAGGCGCCGTGGCCGAAATCGGTCGGGAGGACATTTTATTAAAAAAAAGGAGAATTTTATGTAATATGGTGTCTGTCGTATGTCGTTTTAGTTCTAAATACTCTATGAGTCTATACGATAACATAGGGTCTTGTCATACACTGATAAATAAGATAATTATACCAAATTACCACTATCAGTACTAACTACTTAACAATTCCTATTTAAAGTTTGTTTAACACACAAAAGAATGTTAGTCTTCTATATTTAACGTGCTAAATATCTAAAGATTGTGTATATATTTGTGCGTTATTATGTTTAGACCTCGCATTAGCAGTAAAAGCTTAGCGGTCATGTGTTTTTTAAATTCATCTTTTATTAGTTTTTTAGTTCTTCCGGGCGTTCCCCGTCGAAATCCATAGTAATATTATAAATGTGAGTGTGTTTGTTTGTATGTTTGTCCTTCTTTCACGTTGAAACAGATTAGCGTGATTTTTTCTTGTGTCAGTAGTTGGAGGGCTGAAGAGTGACATAGGCGACTTTTTACCGCGGGAGATTATCTCATAACCATAGGAAAACACGTTGTAATGTAACCCACAACAATTCACCATACCTATGTATTCTATCTATTCTATTTATGTCTATACCACATTAACCGTTAAAATGTCCTTAGGGACGAACCCGAGCGAAGCGAAAATGAGTCTCTAGTTGTTTATAACGTTAGCTATTTATAGATATTTTTATCGAATTTAAAAGATCGTCCCGAGATGCAATAACATAACACGAAGAAAATAATTTTAAAAGACCATAATATCACTTAGCTTTGTACGACGAAAAATCCGGTGAATAGAATCCTCGCAGCGTTTAAGTGGAACTTAACGTAAATTGCATTTTCTCCTACTTTTGTGAAAATAGCAAGGCGCCATAATGAGGGCGTCCATTTTGAATTGACGTCTCTCTGAAATGGCGACTGAACTCGACTGTACCAATTTATAGGCGATAAATATAAAATTCTAACTAGCATACCGTGCGATAACACCCTATTGTTTGATTGACAGAAAATGTATATTATTATATAATAAATACTCAATTGTAGTGGTAGTGCCAGGGGTACTTTTTTTTAATGTAAGTAAAATTTTGAAATGCCAACTTTTGGCTGTTCTAAACCCAAGATTTCTGAGGTATTTAGAATTAGAATCATTCCGTTAATTTTTTCTACTTAAATAAAATTGTTGAGAGATCTTTTCAGAAAAATTCGAGAACATTTCGTTGCTTTTTATATTATTGCTTTTACTTTGATTTATGTTAAGAAAGTTCGTTTAACAATATACTAAAATAATAAAGCAGCTGGTTTTGACGGTTAGGGCTTTGTCCCGACTGTTCAAAGGATTATAATGTAAACAAAACTATTTTATATTTATTTAAAGAGTATTTAGTTACCTCAAAAATATGCATAAGGTTAAGTTATTTAATTGAAAAGGAAAACGTTAAAGCAATAAATAAAAAATAAAAGACTGAGCTGTCACTATTATTAAAACTTGCTGTACCTTTTGACGTTTCGACTAATATTAGTGAAATTAGATATGTTTTGTTTTATGTCCACAGAAATGATTTTATGTATGTATGTACTTGTATGGCAGTTGGAAATATTTGTTTCTAATGTTACTCGAATCTGAGATCACCTAGATAACGTCTATGACACAATATGTAATTCTTATTTTGGTTACAGGTTGGGACGCGAGTGAGGGCGAGAAGGCGCCCTTCCTTCGCAATGAGCCCGTGAAGCTGACGCCGGCGTGGGAAGGTTCCAATCTGCCCAATGACACGCTTAACTTAAAAGGTAATCGATTGAATAATTATAATTTATGGTCGAAAACAAACTGTTGATAATAAATATGCCGCTTATCGCACAAAATATATTTTTTAACTTTTTAACCTTTAATAATTAAATATGTATATTATGATTTATGATATTATTATACAGTACCTATAACGTAAAATTATAAAATATAAATACCAGATGTTTCACACGGCATTAATGAATAAAATATGGTATATCTAATAATATATTTATCTATATGATAATAAAAATAAAGTATTAAATAATAGTTGGTAACTGGCATCACTTTAGAATCGATTCAATCGATCGATTTGACTCATTTCTTTTTTAATATGTTCTTCGCAGTAGATTATGGTTTTTACTAAAAATACCCTTATAAAATTAGAAAATCTTGGTAAAATTAAAACTACTTTTTCAGTAAGATTTTAAAAGATCACAAAAAACATCAATAATGAAATAAAGTTAAAGAAAAAAATATTAAAATAATAATTGAATTTATAAAAGATTTAATTCAGGCATTCTAATTTTATTTCGTTAGTAGCAATTAATGATTATTTTTTTGCTTGCTACAGAATATGTATTATAGATATTTCATATACTATGTAGGAAGATATAAGTATGTACTTGAATCAATCTGTTCAACGAACCTTCTCGCTTACCTACATTTTATTACGTATGATTAATTTTTCATCGAGCTGTGAGTTGTTACTCAGATCATACTAAAAATAAACACAAAATTCTCCATAAAAGAGCGCTATAGGAGTACTTAATGTTTATCACATGTGCCGGCTTTTCCCTCGCTCCTCCTCCTCGCTCCGCTCGGGTCCGTCCCTAGAGCTACGTTTTAACGTTTAGTATAGATTTCTCAGAGATGAGATGTTTTCCCGCTGTAAAAAGTATAAGTTCACCCGGATAACCAGCTATCATCATACCAAATTTCATCAAAATCTGTCCAGTGGTTTTCCTTTGATGTGGTCATAGATAGACAGAAAAAAATTCTTATATAAATAAATATATTCGGCCTCTGTAACGATCTCTATTTCAAAAAATATTTACTGACAAATTCGGTTTAGTTACAATTTTATTATACGTATAGAAGAAGACAAATATTGCGTAGAGTGATTAAGTCAATTATGTTGACATGGATGTAGAGCACACGCTAAGTAAGTAACGCAAGAAAATTAATTTATATATATTATGCGTTATTCCAGAAGAAATAGGCTACTTCATAATTATAAAGGAAATTATATCAATAATTTGCTTAACCTTCAGTTTAACTTAAAATATTAAAAAGTTTTTATAGACTACAGTATACAGCACCTATGGTACATATATACATATAGAGCAGCTCTTTCATCCTCCGATTTTCCATCCTTTTTCATATCTTTGACGTTTCTACTCTAAAATAAAAAGTAAATACATAGTTTTCGTCTATAAGTACATTATCATAAAAGTCGCCCAAAATTCGTATAATACGCAGATAAGGTTTCCAAATAAAACATTCTCTAATATGGCATAGTAGGTGTTTTCTTTACGTATGTTTGTATGTACATATATACAATGTAGGCTTATTTTATTTTCATGGTAGCCATTTTATTTGATTAGTGCACTTAAGATTATTTCTTTTTTTTTTTGCTTTTCATTGTATACGTCCAGCCCTGGGACATCAAGTTCACTTCTTTTTTTTAGTAGCTTCAAGGCAAAAAAAAACATGTACCAGACGGACAGACATTTTCTCTTGGGATGCGGAATCGTAATAAGTATAAACTGTTAGTTATTATACATGAAAAAAATATTTTAAAATCTTTATGTAGAAAATTCCGGACTGCGTGTCGTAATTCTCACAAACGGTTCGACCGATTTTGATTATGGGGGTACTGGTACTACTTACGGGGTCTGGATAGTTCTTCACTACAGTTAGACCAACAAATAAAATAGAAATTTAGATAAAACGACGTCTGTCGGGTATTTATAGAAATACTAACTGTAATTTTATAAATGTCGTAATACTCTGTTGTGCATCATTCTTGTCAGACTGAAACTGTATGAACAAAATCTGTTGTTAGGTTTCATCGTTTTTACACTATACTTATTGTCTGGGAAGGTAGAAATCATGAAGTTTTAGAATGGAAAAGAACATTATAAAACTAAAAAAAATGATAGGTTAAAACCAATTCCATTATGAAGATTGCTATAAAAGCATGTCGAACCAATACCCATTCACGATTTCCCATGTCACATATTATGAGGCCCCATTGATTATTTAATAGTTGATCAAACACTTTCACATTTCAAGCGGCTAAAAATTACACCCAAGGTCACATTTTAACCTTACATTTACAAGTCGGCCAGCGGAAATTATGTCATTTTTGTAATGACCCTTTATTATGCTCAATAAAATAATAATTTAAGTGCTTTTCTTTCATCGGCGCTCGGACTTTTGTATCTAAATTGCTGAATTTTGACAGCCTATACAGACGAATATACAATTTACTGTATAGATTATATGTAATAATAAAAGTCGAATTTCTAGAAAATATTATTGAAATAGTCATTATTATTTATTATCAAGACAAAAGCCAAATCTATAGTTTTTAGAATTTTTGTCTGTCTGTCTGGAAACGAATCCGAGAAAATCACTCGACAGATTTTGATGAAATTTGATATGATGATAGGTGGGTAATCTTTAAAACGTACCTAGGGAAGAACACGAGCGAAGCGAGGGTGAGTCGCTAGTCTATAGATAAGAACTGTTACGAAAAGTATAATGAAATTAAGCATCGAAAAGGGTAATGTCATATTAGAACCAACTTACTTTTGATATTGACAAAAGAAAAGGAAAGCAGAAAATACATAAAAACTGTGGACGAATAGTATTTTTGACGTCCGACTGAACCAGTTAAGTTATTAAATATATGGTTCTAGTTATATTTTTCGGGTCACTAAGAATATTTGTAATATTCATAATACATATATACATATATCAGGATGTAACCGAGCTTGGCATTTTAGTAATCTATTTTCAGCGTAAGAGTAAATCAATAAAGTATCATTAGTACTAATGCCAATTTAATTTTATTTATGAGTACTCGTCTGGTTTCCCTTTCGTAAGTTAAGTACATGCAACATACGGGTATTTATTTGAGCGTATTTATTTACTTATTTTTAAAGGTATTTTAAATTGAGTAGATAAATAATTTTTTTAAAAAGAATACCGACTTCTGTCTCTAAAACGTAAAAAATAACTAAACGGGGGTTTTCATGTAGAATAGATACCTAATCAGATATTATTGAAGTCGGTGCCGGCCGATGCAAAGGAAATCGAATATATTTCAATACGTAAAATACATATTTACCTATAAGATATTCATATCTTAAAATATTGTCGGTTCAGGTCTCTTCGAGTAATCGGTGATTCCGACGAATTGAGAACCTCCTCCTTTTTGGAAGGCAAATAGTAATTGATTCAAGGATCTATTATAGCGATTTTTTCTTCAATCTTTATCATTTAAATATTATATGCATTATAGGAAGCAATTAATCTTCAAAAACTATTTTAACACGTACAGTTTACTGCTCGAATTATTTTTTAGTAGCGATTTATTCTAGTTTTATTATAGTGCGTACCTAAGTGCCTAAAAGTAGCCTATAAATTTGCTACATGGACTGTAATCTGGAATAATTTCCAGATTACAGTCTATGTAGTAATTTCATCGAAATCCGTCCAGTCGTTTCAGCATTAAGGAGTAAAAAAAAACACATATACATACAAACATTCGCATTTATAATAAGTAGTAGTTCGATTTAAAATATAGGCCTGCATACAGGCCGGTTTATATGGCGAGCGAAAAGTATAAATTAAAACTAAAATATGTTCAGAGCCGAGCGGAGAAGCGTTTAATTTAGAAAATTTCGTGCTCAAGCCATTTCTGCGCAACGGCCGTAAGTTCACGCATTGCAGTGAAAAATGGTACGCCATGCCTGGCTAATAAATTCCTATATGCCTTTTTATTTAAACGGTGCACATCTGGTTATGTTAGCGTTTTTATGAATTTTATATATTATGTATTTGTACATTTTATGTGATGATTAACGCGTATGATCAAAACTTATTACATACATATATGCGATTTTTGATTGCTTATTTTTTGACTGACTTCAAAAGTAAGGTTTTTAATTCGCTACTGGTAAAATGATTTTTATAGTTCTTTTTTCTATGTAAAATTAAGTACATATATCACCTCAAACGCTGACAATTGAAATTTCGAGAAAAAAATATGGGTGAAATGAAAAAAAAATATATTTTTTAGTAGTTTTGAAGCTTTTCAGTTAAAAAGTAATTATTATAATTATTATAAAATTCATATAACTAACAACTTTTGCAATCTACTCAACTGTGAAATAAAAGTAAAACAGAGTATTATTTGGGTCAGGTTGAGTTTTTGTAAAGGTAAACTTTAAGTTGAAAAGCTTATTAATAAAAACTTTTATTCAAGTTATGTCTATATAAAATATTTTAAATTGCGGCCTTTGATATCCTTTGATATATAATGTCTTTAAAAAGTTATATAGACAGATTTCACGTCAATTTTGATTGTCTTCAAAACTTTAAGCTTGTGATCTGAAATAGAAATTAATGGGAAATGTTTGGTAAATTGCGTTAGCTTTCATCTTTTAGACTGTATGGATAACCAATTTGTTAATTAAAACGTATACCCACTATCCAACGTAGTGCTTTAGTACAATAAAACTGTAGTCACTTTTTCACAGTGGGGAAAGCAAACGCTTTACTAAAACACACGCAGGTTTTGTCAATGAATTTGTGTGCACCTATGTATTGCGACAGTCGAACCAGATTGTAGAGGGAGATACTGGAAAACACAATAGGGGAGTAAAAATCTAGTGTTCGTATTTAAAATGTTTGTAGTATAAGTTTCGATATATGTCATATGGTAAATATTATATTTTCATTCTTATTCCAAAGAAATACTAACAGCTCGTGCTTATTTTATGAAGAAATGGTTATTTTTATATATACACATCAGGCAAAAACCAATGAATTCAATCATTACTATATAATCTGACTAAATATAAGATTGAACTACTTTTTTTTTGTACAATTAATGTTTTTAATTTGTTTATGTCGTATTTTCCTTTCCCAATAACTTACTATGACTGAAAAATCTGCGCTTAAAAGTTGATTTGTATAATATTACAGGATTACCCACACTGAAATAAATTTCTCTTGTGAAGCACAAACAGACGGAATTAATTGAATAATATGTATTTTACATATATTATTTTATTTAAGGTATAGCCATGGACTTGGCACCACCTAAAGACAAATGGAACCTAATATACATAACGCTGATATTGCACGGCCTCGGCACTCTCACCGCCTGGAATATGTTTATCACAGCCAAAGATTACTTCGTCAAATACAAGTTAGTTAACGCACCGGACTATGCTCGTGATTTCATGACGGACGTGGGATGGGCGTGTCAAGTGCCTAACCTGTTATTTAGCTGGTTCAATATTTTTGTTAAGATTGGGTAAGTTGTTTGTGTTCGTGTTATTTGTCGGGTTTTTTTTTCTTAATATTATATGAAATTTACTTAGAATTTGTCGATAGGAACCTTTTTTAGCAGTTTTTGATAACGGTAAAATTATTGGTTCCTTATATAAATGACGTAAAGCAAGAAATAAATAATAATTTATTAATAATTGATAAATGATTACTACCCTTCCCACTATCCAACGCAGTGATTTTCAGTAAATATCTGACTATCACATTTAAAAAGTGGGTAAATTAAATGCTTTCTAAAACACTTTTAAGTCTTTATAGATTTGTGAGCACCTAAGTTTTGCTACATTAGCTGTATTATTAGTATGTATATATTTTACCGCAGGACAATGTTGATTATTATTATGCCTCCTAATAGTTGAAAGACGCATTATATATTTCATACTAGCGATTCACCCCCGCTTCGGTCGGGTTCATCCCTAGGTTGATTGACCATACTAATTTTCGTCCCCATTTTCACCCCCTTAAGGAAAGATTTCCGGGATAAAAACTATTCTATGTCCTTCCCAGGGTCTCAAACTATCTTCTCACAAAATTTCATCTAAATCGGTCCAGTAGTTTCGGAGCTTATTCGGTACCAACAAACAAACAATCTTTCCTCTTTATAATATTAGTATAGATTTTAAGATAACAAAAAATATTTTGTCTTTTTAATAAAATAACTAACTCATTTAGGTACACTTAAGTTAGTACTTAAACTTAGTAAGTTACATTTGTGTATTGCGTCTGTTAACGCAACTCTAAGCCATTAAAGAAAAAAAAAAAATTACGGTCGTCCATAACTTTTTAAATGTTTACTATTCTATTATACATAAATGTTATGCCTATCACCCACGTTTTAACCTAAAATATTCTATTGAACTCGTTAAAATATATAATATGTACATTATATTGTAGTGTGGGCAGTTAGAAATCTCCATAAATGTGGAATAGTGAATATAAATTACGACAGCATAATATATACTTTAAATCATAATTATATTACAAAGGACAGAAAAAGAATGTTAACTTCACAAATATTTAAAAATTTATATACATAAATACTAGCGACTCAGTTCATCCCTAGCTTGATTCTGCATACAAACATTCATCCTCATTTTCACCCCCATAAGTATCCTATGTCCTTCCCAGGGTCTCAAACTATCTTCTTACGAAATTTCATCTAAATCGGTTGAGTAGATCAAGAGATTACCCTAAACGTCACAAACTCAGAAACTCACAATCTCACAAACTTTACCTCTTATTTTAAAAATAACAAATCAATAATAAAGGCACAAATTAATATTGGCCTTTACAATAACATATGTAATTATAAAAATCAAATAAATATATTTAAAAAAAGTGCGTGTGCGTGCAATTCACACATGGTAGAAGTGAAATATTATATATTTGTCAGACAATAACAACGGTTACCATGGCAACATGGAAATGTATTCTATTTCATTCTCTCGCCGGCTTAATCCTATATATTTATGTTTTTATCCCATTTCCGGTTCATCAAGTTTCAAATCTCAACGAATCTAAAGAAGTTTATATTCACTTCAAAAATATCTAAGACTGAGCTGTACAATGTTCATACATATGTACATATATTAATGTTATAGAAACATGGCATTGCTAGTATTTTTTTGTGTTGTACTAATTTATTTTATTTTCTGTTTCAGAGGTAATCTAACAACTAGAATAGTATGGTCGTTGTGTATCGAAGTGTTGATATTCGTGCTGACAGTGGTCCTCGCGATGGTGGACAGCTCGGAATGGCCGGTGGTGTTCTTTTGGCTCACTATGATATCCGTATTCTTTTTGAGTGGTGAGTCTCATATTTATTAAAAAAAAATATATTATATAAACTGCTTAGTATAGGATAATAATATATTTTTTCGGATTTTTTCGCGGATTAATTTTACAGTAATCATTTTTTAGTAAGGTTATAATGACATTTGAGACGTCTAAAACCTTATTCTTTCCCATGACCATGTCTGCTGTAAACCATTCGAAACGTCGGGAACCAATTATAAAAAAAACCCGAAAAGATAGTTTTATTTAGAATATCAAATATTCGTGTAAATCTAAAAAAGTATCTAGCAGTAGATTGTGACCTGCCTCTCATGTGGTAGGTACGACAAAGCCTATGTCTCTCCCGCGACCATGGTTGTTGTAAAATAAAAACTTTTTAACAAAAAATAAAATCCGACTTCCAGGCACTAAAATGTAAAAAAATAACTATACGGAGGCTTTCATTTAGAATAGATACCTAATCAGATATTTCCGAAGTCGGTGCCAGCCGATGCAAAGCAAATCTAATATATTTCGATACGTAAAATACATATTTACCTATTAGATATTCATATTTTAAAATATTGTAGTAGGCTGGAAGTCGGATTTTATTTATTGTTAAAAAGTTTTTATTTTTCCATAACTTACTATAAAGTATTATGTTTCATTGTTTTTGTTTTGAATAATATTTTTGTAGGATGTATATATTTCCCACTACCCAACGCAGTGTTACCGCCCCAATGGCGTCCATCACTTTACCAGTGGGTACATCAGAGCTCTTCTAAAACACACGCATGTTTATTCAATAAATTTGTGTGCACCTAAGATTTGCTACATTTAATCCCTTTGTTTTATTTCGTAATTTTAAATTATGGCTAAGCTATTGTTTTTGTCAGTTTTTAGAAAGTTAAGTATGTATCTTTGTTCTTATGTGGCGTTCTAGAGAGAATTTTGATGATTTATACGTTATTTGATTCGCCTTAATAATGCGGGTGTTTTAAGTTGTATAAAAATAGTTAAAAATTAAAATGGCGGATTTCAGGCGCCAATTTGTGTTTTTTTTTTAAAAAAACCTCCAAATCAATCAAACGTTTCATACTTGCCGCGAGTTGTACGTATCTATGTACATATGTCTCCGACTGCATAATACTATATTCCTTTGTCAACTTGTTTTCATCTCTTTAGTTAGTTATTACGCAGTCGGGTTTTTTATTTTTATAATTATAATTTGTGTAGGTATGTCTCATAAATTAATTTAATATTTATTTTTATTTATTAATTTGTTTTGTTTACTAATTATTGCATTGTAATAAATAAATCAGAAATATTTAATTTCAGGTTTCAACGCGATATTCCAAAATTCAGTATATGGTGTGGCAGCCCGTCTCCCCCCACAGTATACGGGGGCGGTGGTCCTAGGTTCGAATATCTGCGGGACGCTAGTGGTCTTTTTGAACTGGGCTTCAGACGAATTCACAACGAGTTACAGAACATCCGCTATATATTATTTTATAGCGGGAATGTTTGTTTTACTCATATGTTTTGATACGTACTTCGCTTTGCCGTTGAACGTAAGTAAATAATATTTGGGCATTTTTTAATTTTATGAAATTTAATATCTATTTCCCACTTCCAACGCAGTGGCAACACTAATTAGTTGTGTTACCATTTTATCAGTGGGAAAAGAAACGCTTTACTAAAACACACGCAGGTTTTAGCAATAAATTTGTGTGCACCTAAGTATTGCTACACTTAAAAATATGTATTACACATTTAAATTATTTTTATTTCCTAGGGCCTAGGCTATCGTAAATATCTGAATTTTTTATTCATACTTTCAATATTCATTGATCAAAACCTTTGATATCGACGACGAACTATCTATTTGGTACTTCCATATAAAGTAAAAAAAAAGTTAAAAAACTAAAATAAATACTCTATTGAATAACTTTGATGTACGGGTCTTATCAAAACGAATCAAAAATCCAAGATTTTTTTATTAACAGAGTTTTACCATATCTTTCTTCTGGATGAAACCAAATTAAGCTATTGTATATCTCCATCTTTACATACTTTTAAAGATTTAAACGAATACGACAATTCAAAATAGCTTAAAATCGACTACTAAAATTTGATATCACAATGTAATCTCAGTAAAAGAATCCATCAAGTAGGTGATCTTTTCGTGCGGCTCACCCACGATACACCCGCAATTACCCTGTCTAGACGTATTCGTTATACCCACTATTATGGATTAGTAAACTGTAGCGTAGTAGAAGCCAATAAAAGCGTCTTAAAAAGACTACGAGTATAATGTATTCTTCTTCTTCTCCCTGCCCATTTCCCAAATCACTTGGGGTCGGCGCAGTACATCTTCAGTGTACTGCTGATAGGATTTGGCAAAAGTTTTACGACCGGCCGCCTGCCTGACGTCAACCCTCCTTGGGAATGCTATTGTCTTTCTTTGTCTGAATGGTGTTAAATATTATGCACTTTCGATTTTGTTGTGTTTTAAAACATTTTTTATACTGTTAATTCAATTATTAATGTTATTTTTGGATATATTTTAAAATAAATTTCGATTACACAATAAATTTTGTATTGACATTGTCATACGAGTATAATGTATTGATATACAAAAACTCAAAATACATAATTAGCGTTTCAAAATTGTCCTCGAAAGAAGCTACGATTCGAAGTTGAATTGCGTTTTTTTTACAAATCCTTTTTGTTCATTACTTTTCGGATGACAAAATTAAAACGCACGTTTGTTTCGTTTAAAAAAGTACCATAATGTGGTGTGCGTAAGTTCGAAGTTCGAATTTGTGTTTAGACAATTGGACATTGATTTTAAAATTTTATTCTTTGGTTTGACTTAACAACATCTCATATCGACGCCATTTTTTAAAAAGATATTTCATAGAAAATGTGTATCTATGTTTTTATATTTCAATGGAATATGGATTAGTAAATGTAGTGTAATAAGTCAATAAAAAAGTCTTTAAAAGACTAAAAATCTATATGCTATATAGATAAATAAAATTGAAGTGTCTGTTTGTAATGTTAAAATAACAACGTTTTACTTAATGCATATGAAATTATATACGGTACTTATAAGAAAAACGATTTTTTTTTTAATTTTATGTCTGATTGTTCCGGATAATCTCTGATACGGCTGGCCTGATTTTGATGGGACTTTTACTGGAAGATAGGTGATGTTATAGGGAGTAACATAGGCTACTTTTATTTTAGAAAAAGAATTAGGGTTCCGCTCAAAAAAATAATATAATATATTTACAGAGATTCTTTCGATACCACGAGACGCTACAAGAGCGCACTCTACGCGTGAACCCCGCGCTAGCAGCGACTAATCAGAACGCGAGTCCTTCGAAACGCACACCCTACGGCCTTATAGTGATGCAGTCCATTGGACAGCTTTACAATATATTCATTGTTTTCTTCGTATCACTAGCTGTGTTCCCAGTTGTACACTCGGGTGAGTAATTTTATTTTTAGTTATTTATATAGGAAACCAACATAGTATACAGTGCTTTTTATCTTTCAAATATTATATGTAATTATGTATAGAATATTTGTTACACTATACACTGCCTTTATGTACCTTTAAGTGTTAAAGGCTAACTCAACATGCAGTACAAACAGTTGTTCCGAAACTTATTTCCTATGAAAAACAAATTACTTAATAAGAGGCATAGAGGGTTTTCCCGTGAATTTGGGGGGCCGTGGACTAAAACTTTGTGGGGTTTTAAAACTGAAAAATATTTTAATAAATTAGATTTAAATTTATTGTAAAAAAATTATAATGGTAGATGGTTTATTTTTATAAATTCACAATATTATCCATGGTCTCAACAGGGGTTATATATTAGGGCTGTAGCCTAAACAGCCTATATTATGTATATACTCGTAGATCTGCACCTGGATAGTATTTGTATACTATGTATAGTATTTTTTATGATTGTCAAGTGACAATCAGATATATAGGTGTTATGATTGACAGAATCAAAGTTATTTTAAGAGCCACGTTTAAATTTAAAGGTGTTGAATACTATTTCTTTTTATGACAAAGAAACATAAATTACAAACTAAATATTAACTATTTCCCACTACCCAACGCAGTGTTACCGCCCCAATGGCGTCCATCACTTTACCAGTGGGTACATCAGAGCTCTTCTAAAACACACGCATGTTTATTTAATAAATTTGTGTGCACCTAAGATTTGCTACATTTAAACAATAAGCTATCAACTACCAAAGAAAATCTTTTTTGACACTTAAAATTGACTTCATATTATATTGACTTCATTTATCACATAGATAATGTTATTAAGAAATCTTGAGTTTATATAATTCTGGCTACACACCGACCCGCTTTATCAAAATTTGCTTTGACATCACATCAATATCAATAATTATATTTATTCTAAATGTATTCGGATGAAGGAAAACAAAACACATGCTCTCTTTCCTATTAAAATTAATTATTAAAAATTTAATTAATTTATTCATTTAAGAAACATCCATTAATAACGTGAGCCGTTTTTCTAATAATTTGAACCCCTTGATGAGATTTGGTGGGAGTGTTTTTTTATAATAGCCGTGGACTTTTTCAGCGAGCATAATATGCAAATAGAATACTAAAGGAAAGGAATGAAAAGTGGAATATTTTTTTATTTACCTTTATAATATATATTCTTTTAAAGTTGACGTATTTTAAATATGCCCCCCCTCCCCACTCCCCCCTCGATTTAAATGAGATTAACTAGGATTTTACTAAACTTTTCCTCCTTCATTTTAATTGATGTCCCCTTAAAAAAATTTTACACATTCAAATTTCACAGATTGCAATTCGCACACAATAGAAGTAAAACTTCAGAAAAGTAACCTATGAGAGAATGAGATGAATATAGAGTATCTATCAGGAGTAGGCTGATAGGGTTAAAGTTTATTTTACATTTTTTCTAGCATATATTACATCACATATTATTCAGTATTATTTTTAATATTTTTCACTTCCTGTGTAGTGTATTCTATCTCATTCTCTCGCCGGCTTAATCATTTATATTTATGTGTTTGGCTCTTTGTCGTAACGCATTTTCGTTTCATCGAGTTTCAAATCACAACGGTTCTAAAAAAGTTTCACTTGAAAAAATTAAAATTTTAGTTAATTATATTATACTTTTGTTCTCATAAAAACATGTTTATTTCCAGATATTCAACCAGTAACACCGGGTTTTCTTGGCACCAATTTTGTGCGACTCACGTGTTTCCTGACGTTTAACTTCACCGCCATGTTAGGCAACGTGACAGCTAGTTTATGGCAATTTGTGAGTAAAAATCATTTAATTATTAATTTTTAATTATTTACTAACGATTTACCCTTACTTGGCTTGAGTTTCAAGGTACGTTTATGTAGATAAAAATAGTTATTGTGAGCGTACCTTAGGAAGTAGACACATGTTATTGCGGACTTTTGTAGACCTTTTTTAAGACCTACAATTTTCTAGTACATAATTTTGAATTTTGATGTATCTCTGAAAGTTTAGCCAGTGTTAGCCATGTAATCTTATGAGAACTGTTTTTTGACAAATTATATACACAAACCTTACTCGTTTATGGCTCTTTCTATTATATGAAAATCGTATCAAAACTCGTTGCGTGGCTTAGAAGTAAGCGGAGACAGACGGACACAGAGAGAGACCTTGTTTTATAATCTAATGTAAAATTATTATTATGTAAAATTTTTATATAATTAATTCTCTTTTAGTGTTTTAATCCTTAACCGACAAGTGAGAAATATCTAAACAAAATAAGAATATTTTGGATTAAATAGATGAAATATAATTAATTAACCTAATTATTATTAATTATCGAAACAATAAACCCACTATCCAACGCAGTGTTATCGCTAGCATAGCGTTTATCACTATACCAGTGGGTATATCAATGCTCTTCTAAAACACACACATGTTTGTTCAATAAATTTGTGTGCACCTAAGATTTGCTACATTTAGTTATTTTATCGAATACTTAATTTACATTCACTATTGAGATGTATATCTATCCTAATATTATAGAGGTAAAGTTTGTGAGTTTGTGACGTTGTAGGGGGTAATCTCTGGATCCACTGAACCGATTTAGATGAAATTTGGTAAGAAGATAAGATTTGGTAAGTTTGAGACCCTGGGAAGGATACTTTTTATCCCGGAAATCATCCCTTAAGGGGGTGAAAATGGGGATGATAGTTTGTATGGGGAACTAACCTAGGGAACCTGAGCGAAGCGAGGGTGAGTCGCTAGTGTTTTCTCATATACATAAAGTGAATTGTATTCTTTTTTTTTTAATCTTAAATCATATTAGACCACATTATGCTATTAAATTTTTGTTTTGCGAAAAACAAATGAATAAAATTAAGCATATCTTATTATATTAAATGAGCAATTCTTGTATATATATGAATGTAAATTTATTTCATGTATCTTGGAAACGGCTCTAACGATTGGGATCAAATTTTGTATTTAGATAACGTTTTACTTTTTATGTTTATTTATATTGTAGGTGGCTTTTCTGAAAAAACGCAATTCTTATATCTTTTCCGAAAAATGTCGAGTGTAGCTCGGTCAAACAGATCCTTGATATAACATGTCTAACAAACATGTCATAACCAATTTTATTATTCAACCAAAATTATTGTTTACACTAATTTTCTTTTTCAGCCAAGTCCAAGATGGCTGTCAATTTTCACATCCATCCGTATACTCTTCATTCCATTCTTCATGCTGTGTAACTATCACCCCTTGGGCAGAACAAGGACCCTGCCAGTCCTTGTCAATAACGATTGGGTGTATTGGGCTATGTCAGCATTACTCGGGTGGAGCTCCGGACATGGTAGCTCGTTAGGCATGATGTATGTTAGCGGGTAAGTTATTTTTATTAGTATATTTTTGGGAATGTATGGAGTATAGCTTATACATTTAAATTTTTATTTTGTTAAGCACTATGTGATGAAGTTTATTATTTGTTAATTGTTATACATATATTTCCCACTACCCAACGCAGTGTTACCGTCCCAATGGCGTCCATCACTTTACCAGTGGGTAAATCAGAGCTCTTCTAAAACACACGCATGTTTATTCAATAAATCTGTGTGCACCTAAGATTTGCTACATGTCACTAATTATTTGTGTTATTATATGTATGTTTTATATTTCATATTTTACATACGGTTTATATTGTAGATTAATTCATAGGCAGATTTATATCGACAGACTCATCTATGATATGTAACATTTTTAAACTAGTAAAGACTGTGATTTAAATATGTTTGAATATATGTTTGAATATTGCAACTATAAGAGATAGAGAGACTACCTATTTCTTTTCCTTTTTTGTCACTGTTTTTTTAAATCAAATGTAAATATTATTTTTTTGTTTTTAATATTTTTATTTAACTTTAACTGCACATATTGTAATGTTTTCTTTTTCACATTTAAATTTTTTGATTAGGTTTGTTTATATAATTATATTTATTTGAATGTTTTGTACATTTTCAATTTGTTTGTCTGTTTCTGTACCCACATAAACAAAACCAAAATACAAATTTAATGCATTATTGAAATTAATATTAATATTATTATATGTTCCAGCACTGTAGCACCCGAACACGCATCGACCGCCGGCATGATAGGCGGCGCGACGCTCGTCACCGGAATTGTAGCTGGTATCACCTTCTCCAAGTTCTGCCCCATCTTCGTCTCACTCGCTGCCTGGCAAAATATGTAGCGACTACTTACATACGTCGGATCCGTCTGGAACGTTCTCATTCGTGGGAAGTGACGTGTCAAGTTATCTAAAATCGATTCCACAAAATCGATTCGCGAAAATCGATTTTTGTTACTAATCGATTTGTGTTTACGTGTAGTGATGTGACGTGAGTGTTGAGTGACGAGTTGTGATATAACCCCGCCTTGACCACGCCTTACAGCTAGCGAGTTCCTGTATAGTGACGGAATTGTTGTAAGTAATGATTGATATTCATAATTTACTGTTATTATTACTGGATGTGACGCTCCATTCAAATGAAATTGAAGTTGGAAGTATCGAGACATGTCTGTGACTGCAATGCGAATTTAATGTAAATTCACTACTAAATATATAAAAGTATACACAATAATATATTAAGGAATTGAAATTGGTAGTTTACATAAATTTTTCCCATGTTCTATTTATATTGTACTTATTGATTTATTGTAACTCATTGCAATCACAGATTAAAAATACTGCCATATACATAAAAATTGTGGTATGACAAAATAAATTATATAGATATAACCTTAAAATTTGATAATTTATTATAAAACAAATACTAATAAAATATAACAGGCTTATATACAGATGATAAATAATGCTAATTCTACATATTTTGGAAATAGTCATATTTCTGTGACATTTTTTGAAGTGAACTTCTTTGTGATGAGAGTAAAATTTCAAATTCCGGTTGTCATAGTAACCGTTTTTATCAACTGAAAAATAATATATATGATATTATTTCCGTTGCTATCTTCTAAGATTCCTATCTTTACTAATTTGTTTTCAAATATGCCTGCATATTTATAACTAGCAGCATTTTTCCAGCTAAATAGAAAGAGATAAAATATTATTCTCTCCTCTTTGTGTGATGTTCCTTTGAATCGTGTTTTTGTTTGAGTGTAATATTAAAAGTTTATTAATTTATCAATCTTATAGATTTGAAATATAAATAGATAACATATGAAGTTTTACTTCTAACATGTTTCCATAGAAACTAGATTTTTTTATTTCTATTTTCCTTTGAATTATATTATAAAATATCAAGATAAAGATATTTTGGTTTATTCTTGTATGACAATGAAAAATAACGCCTTTAGGCTCTATGTTTGTCACAGAAAAAATTAAAAAATACCTGAATATGTGGAACTAGCATTATCTTTTATTAAGTTATTGGTAAACAAAATAGGCTATGTGAAAGAGGTGAAGTTGGTTTTGACGTAGATTGAGTTTTATATCAGTAAAGGTTTTAACAATTGTTAAAGTTTGAGGCTTAGAGTATTTATATTGTATTTAGTACAAATTGTTAAAGATATTATAGAAAAAACATTGAAATACAACAAGTTTTTATATCAATTTTTTTTTATTATGGCAAACAGTTTTTATTTGGAAAGTAATAAAACATGCAATACATAAAATTAATCAACATACATACATATATATGTATGTTTACATATCCTATATTATATTTCTATGTGAGTGGTATGTTATTTTGTAATATGTTTTTACCTCTTACTTACCTTTTACTGACATATCTTCACTATTACTGCATTGACAGATAATCAACAAAATCAAATTTTGAATTTATGGAACTCCTTTATAATAACATTATTGAAAAAATTGTTTCCCCTATTTTTATTTAAATATTTTACGTCCTTAGACATAGGAACGAAAATTAAAAAAAATCTTAATCCAAAGTGCTACTACATATTAAGGCTTGTAATTAACGATTTTTATGGTAATTTTGTGATTAATTCATTATTTTGATATATTAAAGAACTACAGCAGGCTGATAACTTAAGTTTTATAGTATTTACAGATAAGCACTAGATATATTGGTTTAAAAGAAATAATTGCAATGCTTCAATGACTAATGACAATGCTTCAGTACGAAATGTTGCCATTTAAATTATTAAGAGATGCTTTGCAACCTCTTTTTAGTTTTCTACTCGTTTCATTGTAGAGTTATTTGTTAAAAAAATTAAACTTCGTTTTTTTTTAACTTGTTTTCACAGACTGATTCACTAACTATTAGATGTATATAAGCTAAAGTAAACATTTGTAGGTTTAAAAAGAAATTATCTAATCTAAAAGTGTTAAGTCAAAAGTTTTCCAGTGTATAACATAGACTGTCATGAAATTTTGTTGATTGTAATTTTTAATTTTATCTATATTTTCCCTTTCATTAATAATGTATATTATAAAAATCTGTCCTTGAATTATGTTAAAATTAACCATTGTTTTTTTTTATGTGAACAATTATGTCCTAAAATGCATTTTTTAGATAGTAACATTAAGGTTTAAATTATAATTGTATTACAGTTCATTTGTTTAGGGTATTTACATTGTTTTAGATATTATTCATTTATACACCAATAACGCACATACAAAGGTTAGATTTTTGCATTTACATATTAAAGGAATATTTTATTATTGTAAACCTTCATTTTTATGAAACTTAAAACATTTAAATTTGATATGTTTATAACATGATGGGAGATCCATGTGTGTTCAATTTAGAGACCAAATATTAATCGTTAGAGATAGGCGATTATGAATATAACTCCATTATAATAGGAAATATGCGCGTGATTTAAATAAAGGTAAAATGTTTTTTTTTTAAATTATCTTTTTTGCTTTTGAATTACGCCTATATTAATATTTTTGAATGTAATTTCTTTTCGATTAAGAAAATAATTATAAAAAAGTGCAAATTTAGGCGGGTAAGATATTTTAAAGATTTTTTTACATTAAATTTTAGTTTTATGGAGCTGGATATTTTTTTTTACAATTATATAACGATGTTAGCTATTGTATAAAAAATAAAAAAAATCACGCATATTACCTATTGAGGCGATTATGAATAATAGAATATTAGGATTTGATCAATCGATTGACTCCAATTGTCCCCTTATAATTTTAATGAAAAAGATAATATTGTAAATTGTAGTGTTGTTAACAATTATTTGTGCTATTCACAATCGCCCATCCCTATTTTTGATTTAGAGTGAGTTCTCCCTCTCACTAACATTTGTTAGTTTTTATTTATGAGAAAGTAAAAGGTTTTTTTAATTTATTTTGTGTTTTATTTTTGTTTTTCACTTAAAATTAATTTCACTTAAATTATGTTTACAAAATTATTTTACAATGATGTCATTTATGTATATACATAATGTTACCTTATTGGGAAAAATATGTTTATTACATAAAAAAAGCTAATCTTTTGATAAACATGCATTATAATTGTTTTAGTTTTAGTTTTTATGATTTATTACTTTTTAGGTTTTATTCATATAGAAACACCTTTTATATTAATTTTTCGTAGATATTTCACCTTATTATTTTTTTTATTTTTCATATTTATCGATCACTATATTTAATAACCGCATGCTTTTTGATCAAAGTCGATATAATACATCTGGGAAAGAAGCCCAAGACAATAATGGGAATAAATAGAATAAATCTTAGGATTGCCATTAAATGGAATATTATAAATTTTGAAATATACAATTAAAACAATAGGCATGTTACCTTATAACGTTTTAGCATCTTTCAAATACTTCACATCTAATAATATAAGAATGCAATACAATCTTCGATTTCTACTTACACTTTAAAATGAATTTTATTAGCTTTAGAATTCATGTATATGAAATATCGCATATATCTAATTACTTAATCTTTATTATCTACATACATTGATATATCTACATTAAATATTAAACTTATAGCATAAAGGGTTATTTGAAATTAGTTCTCAAGACCATTATAAAAAGAAAAAAAAAATCACACATGATTTGGTTACGATTAGAATGTATTTATTTATGCCTTTCTTTTCATGGGCTTCTAGTGAAGTTAAAAGTTAGTTTTTTTTTTCAAAAAAGCTGTGTTTGATATATATAGATTTTGTTATCTAGTTTCCATTGCTATTAAGCTTGAAAAGCTGTTTTAAAGAGCTTTTTCTTAAATGTGATAAGGCATTCAATCAAGTCTCAGTTCGTAGTACGCTAAATATATGAAGCTTGCTGCTTTTTCTTCTATTTGCCGTCCTATTCTTTATATTGTTAATTAAAAAAAATACTTTAGGTTAAGTGATAATTTTCATCATCTTTTCATACTCTTTTCAGGGGTTGATAGATAATATAATAACTATATTTTTTATTTTAGGTCTGCATTTAGACATTTTGTTGTATTTAAAAAAATAATTATTTAATATTATACTGTTATAATAAGTGATTTAAATAACTCTTTATGCTTAATAATAATTATAGAATGTACCCACGCGTATATAAAATATTATTATATGCACTCCTCGTAGAGTCGAAGGCTGTGAAGAGATAGCTTTAACCTTTCCACTGTAGATACCACACCTTCGCCCTTGTCCTTTTATTGATGGGTCAAATGGAAAACATTATCCCTTTTTACTCTACCGTGGCGAAAACCAAAGGAGGGTTATGTATTTATCCTGTATGTATGTCCGTTCCTATGTTTCCTCGTAATTACTAAACGGCTTAACCGATTTTGACCCGACTGTGTAATAAATGAACTAAAAAGATGAAAACAAGTTGATGAAGGAACATAGTGATGATGTTCTCCTAGCCGATTCCGGCCACGGCGGCCAATCTCATTGAGACTAGCCAACTGCGCAGGAGATATTATAGTGCACAAGTGTACGCGCAGACACAACGTGCACTCTCTATTCCTGTTACTCTCATTACTCCGGTGGGACGACTGCTCGACACGACCAGTGAGAGTTAAGGCGCAGGACCGACGGCTTTACGTGCTCTCCGAGGCACGGGGGTGAAACACCGCCAACTTCCCAACTCCGGGCTGTTACTGAGACTTACTATACAGAAAGACTCAATAACTAAACTTGGCCCGACCCGGGACTCGAACCCAGGACCTCTGAGTGTGCAGCCGTACATGCTAGCCACTACACCACCGAGGCAGTTAAGTAATAAACATAGTAGGTA